TAGTAGTGAGTTCTTATTACTGAGAATGTTCAAACATGACCTAGATGACTGTTGTATTAAAACCTCAAATTAAGGCCTAATGTTATGTATTCCTTGACATTTGGGGAAAACAGCATTTTGCTCAAGTGGAATTCAGTGAACAAGAAGCATACTTTTATTTTACTCTTATTTTTATTTTTTTATTTTATTTTTTTGCTAGGTATACTGTTTTGAGAATATTTTACTCTTATATTAACATTGACTAGTAGTTGAAATAAGAAATCCAGTAGGATTCTACAGAAAAACAGAAGCAGCAGGAGATAGATATGTATATATACATTTATATGAAATATATATATATCTTATATATACATATATATTAAATATACTTTTAACATATATAAATTAATTAATTTTTTCTCAAATGGCCTAACTATAAGTTTCCCCTTTCACTATGTTCTTGCAGTTAATGTTCCGTAGGCAAGCAACCTCTTTATCGAAGGGATCAGGGCAATTTCTGCTTATACTTGATTAGGAAATTCAATTCCCTGCCAGCCCAAGAATTATCCAGACAAGCCAATCACATCTTTCCTGGGAACTAAGGGGCACTCCACCCTCCTAATATTACAAAACCTTTCTACAGCCCCTGGTTGTTTATTCTGTCTCTGAGTGCAGCCACATTGTGGCCCTCTGTAGCATGTGGTATCTTCTTCCACTGGGCTGTGAGGGGAATATATGTGATTAATAAACTTTTGTCTTATCTGTCCAATGTTGAGTGTCCTATGTTTGACCATCTTCATAACCATGGAATGGGAATCTCTTCCCAACTGATGGGGTGAATAGTAAGTAATTAAAACAATGACTCTCCCCCTGTCCCCTACACCCAGCTGTGATGGAGATGGAGAAAGGCTTAAATACCAGTGTAGTTATTGTAATAAATGACTTACGAGTTGCCTTTCAATACCAAGATACTGTTATTTCTGTGTTTCTAGTGCCAGTATTAGCATTCTTATTTTCTAAATAATAACAGGACAATGTGTTCATCTCTATTATTAGCATTTATCAGATAGTATTGTAAACTATTTATATATCTTTGTCAGTTTAAAGCACAAAAAGCCATGATTTCTAATCTTTGTATACCTTCTGAATTGCGTAATGCTTGGTGCAATACATAGCAGATATTCAATAAATATTTGTTGAGTGAATCTGAAAATTACTTTCTTTTTTGGAATTCGATTAAAAAAACCCAGTGAAATTGAAAACAAGAAAATTATACAGAAGATCAATGAAACAAAAAGTTGGTTCTTTGAAAAGATAAACAAAATTGATAAACCTCTTGCTAGATTAACCAGGAATAGAAGAGAAAGGACTCAAATAAGTTTAATTAGAAATGAAGATATTATAACTGATACCACAGAAATACAAAATATCATCTGTGAGTATTATGAAAATCTGTATGCACATAAATGCAAAAATGCATAGGAAATGGACGAATGTCTGGAAACACACAACCTCCCAAGACTCACTCAGGAAGAAATAGAATTCCTGAACAGACCAATAATGAGCAATGTGATTAAAGCAACAATAAAACAAATCTTCCAACAAAAAAACAAAGCCCTGGACCAGATGCATTCACAGCTGAATTTTACAAGAGCTACAAAGAAGAATTGGTACCCATTCTGCAGAAATTATTCCATAACACTGAGAAGGAGAGATTCTACAAAGCCAGTATTACCTTGGTACCAAAGCCAGGAAAGAACACAAAAAGAAAAAGAAAACAACAGACTAATATCCCTTATGAATATAGGTGCAAAAATCCTCAATAAAATACTAGTAAACCAAATTCAGCTGTACATCAAAAAAATAATCCAACATGACCAAGTGGCCTTCACCCCAGGGATGTAAGGATGGTTCATCATATGTAAATCAATAAATGTGATTTAACACATAAACAGAAGCAAAAACAAAGACCATATGATTATTTCAATAGATGCAAAAAAAGCATTCAATAAAATTCTATACTCTTTCGTGATAAAATCCCTCAACAAACTAGGCATAGATGGACTATATCTCAAAATTATGAAAACCATATGGGACAAACCCACAGCCAGCATCATACTGAATGGGATAAAGTTGAACACATTCCTACTAAGAACAGGGACAAGAAAAGGATGCCCACTGTCACCACTTCTATTCAAGATAGTGCTGCAAGTCCTAGCCAGAGCAGTCAAGCAATTAAGGGTTTCCAAACTGGGAAAGAGGAGATCAAACTATCACTTTTTGTAGACAATATGATCTTATATCTAGAAAACCCCAAAGATTCCACCAGGAAACTCCTAGACTTGATAAAGAAATTCAACAAAGTCTCAGGTTACAAAATCAATGTATACAAATCAATAGCATTCTTATACACCAATAACAGTCAAACTGAGAGTCAAGTCAAACACTCAGTATCATTCACAATTGCTACAAAGTTGATAAAATACCTAGGAATATACTTAACCAAGGAGGTAAATGATCTCTACAAAGAGGACTACAAAACACTGAGGAAGGAAATTGCAGATGATACAAATAAGTGGAAACTCATATCGTGTTCATGGATCAGTAGAATCAACATTGTTAAAATGTCCATACACTCCAAACTGATTGACAATGAAATCTCCATCAAAATATCAATGTCATATTCACAGATCTAGAAAAAATAATTTTACACTTTGTGTGGATCCATAAAAGAGCCCTAATAGCCAAAGCAGTCTTAAGCAAAAGGAACAAATTGGGAGGCATCACATTACCAGATTCAAACTCTACTACAAGGCTAACCCAAACAGCATGATGTTGGCAAAAAAAATAGTGCCATAGAGCAATGGAACAGAACAGAAAACCCAGGTATAAAACCATCCACATACAGCCAAATGATTTTTGACAAAGCAAACAACGATATACACTGGGGGAAAGAATCACCATTCAATAAATGGTACTGGGAAAATTGTATATATGCAGAAGAATGAAACATGATCCATATCACCAGTTACAAAAATTAATTCAAGATGAATAAAGACTTAAGTGTAAGGTATGAAACCATAATTAGAAAATGTTGGAAACTCTTCTAGATATTGGCAGAGTTTTATGAAGAAGACCCCAATGGCAATCACAGCAACAACAAAAATAAATAAATGGGACTTGATTTAAAAATGTCTGCACAGCTAAGGAAATAACAGAGTAGATAGACAATCTACAGTATGGGAGAAAATATTCACAAGCTATACCTCAGATAAAGGACTAATAACCAGAATCTACAAAGAACTCAAGCAAATCAGCCAGAAAAAAATCAAACAACCCCCCCCCCTCAAAAAGTGGGCAATAGACACGAATAGAAGATAGACAAATGGCCAGTAAACAAATGAAAAAGTGTTCCACATCTCTAATCATCAGGGAAATGCAAATCAAAACCACAATGAGATATCACCTTACCCCAGTTAGAATGGCTGTTATTAAAAAGTCTAAAAACAATAGATGCTGGTGTGGATGCAGAGGGAAAGGAATGCTTATACACTATTGGTGGTACTTCAAATTAGTACAACCTCTATGGAAAATAGTATGGAGATTCCTCAAAGAACTAAAAGTCAACCTCCCATTTGATCCAGCAATCCCACCACTGGATATTACTCAAAGGAAAATAAGTCATTTTATCAAAGAGACAACTGCACTCAAATGTTTATTGCAGCATAATTCACAATTGCAAAGATGTGGAATCAACCCAAATGCCCATCAATTCATGAGTAGATTAACAAAATGTGGTATATGTATACTATGGAATACTACTCAGCTGTTAAGAAAGAATGATTTAATGTCTTTTGCAACAATTTGGATGGAACTGGAGACCATTATCCTAAGTAAAATATCTAAAAAATGGAAAAACAAACACTACAGGTACTCACTATTTAATTGGAACTAACCCATGAGCATAGAGGGAAGTAAAACTCAATCGAAATCAACCAGGGGGAATGAGGAGATGGGCAGAAACCTACCTAACGGATACAGTGAACAGTATTTGGGTAATGGACACACATATAACTATGACTTAAGCATTATAAGCTGTCCATGTAACCAGAAATATTTGTATCCTCATAATACTTTGAAATGAAAAAAATAACCAGTGAGCTGTCAAGTTAGCCTTAAACAGTGTAACATATAAGTAAGTAAATTCCCTAACACTGATAAAATCCCAACTCACCCCACCCACCCTTAGACAGAAAGAATGAGGTCTTGAGAATGCTGCCCAATTTTTGTCTTCTCGTTCCCCTTCCAAAATATATGCCAGTTGCCCTTGGACTTCCGAAGAACACCAAAGGCAGCATCTCACCTTGTGTAGATAGGACAGTTAAAATAGCTACAAGGTGATCCCAACTCCTTGCCTGTCTGTTGATTCTGAGTGCTTCATTCACTGCAAAATCCCTGCTGAAAGCTAAAATGTTGCTTCTGCAAGTGGCATTTGTTTTGGTCATTGTTTCATTCCTCACGTATGTAGCTGCATAGCACCCCTATCCTAAATTATGAAAATATAGAGGTTAACATGGATGGCTTGAACATATTTGACATATCTTTTTTCTATGATTTATTTTAATTGACTTACTCCTTAAAAGTTATTCTTTTGATAGAATAGCATGTGCTTTCCCCTACCCATCAATTTAAGAATTTCTTTAATGAAAAAATGGAAGACTTGGTCTGACAAAGAAATTTTTCTAATTTATTTTAATGTATTATATCACTTCACAAAGCTATATAATCTGTCTTTGGCAATAATAAAATTACATTAAGACAGCCCTGGTGTTTGAAACCAAAGATATATAGTTTCCATATCCATGTGTCTTTATATAGTGCTAAACATGTGGTTGGCACTCAGTAAATATATATTGGTTAAATCATCTAATAATAGAATATGCTCCCTGCCATTGATCATAGACTTTAAGAAAGACTTTAATAGGAGAAAATGTTTTCTCTATTTCCTGATTTATTCACAGTAAACAGATCCGAGCTATGCTGGGACAGTTCAGCCAGGCAGAATCCTTATTAATGGAAGCTGGAGTTCAGCCAGGGACTTTTGATGGAGTTCTTTTGGATCTTGGGTGTTCCTCCATGCAACTTGATACTCCTGAAAGAGGTTTTTCCCTTCGGAAAGATGGGCCCCTGGATATGAGGATGGATGGTGGCAGGTGAGTATTGATAAGCATTTCTCCTCACAACAAGAAATCAATTTCTCAAAAACACTTTGGATTTAATTTCCTTTTAAGACTGCAGAATTCCCATCACACACCCACACATAACACTACCCATACATAATAAATCAGTTTGTTTGCTTCTTATTATAGACTTTAGTATTTCTCTGGATTTGGGGTTTTAAAAGAAAAATAATTACTGTCTTTACACAAAATAGTGAGGAGGAAAACCTTCATACTGATTATCTTTTACACTGATATAGTATGGGCTTTTAGACTGCAAACTATATTGACAAATATGATACTGAAACAATGGTTCCATTTTTACGCACATTCCACTATGCCTCTGTAAGGCACAAAAAGAACTAGATATATTTAATGCATATTCTTTTAGAATACAGGGAAAAAGGCAAGTTCCTAGAGGTCAGCAATTGTGTATTTTGTCCTGTCTCTTGCATAGTCACATTGGTTGAACCTTCTCCAGAGAAACTGCAAATTATGGTACTATATCAAACACAGTATTATGCATAGGATATCTTTTACACCTCCTCTTCATTTCTCACCACCCTGGATATACTAACACTTGTTCTCCATTATTCAAATAGGTACATATATATTAAATAACACAAAGAAGATCACATTCTAGGAGAACATAGGAATAATTCTTTTTTATTTAAATTAATTTTAAAAGCTTAGATTAGTACTTGTGTCTATGCTAAACACTGGCCCATGCCTGAACAGCCTATACCTACAAAACTTAATCATGTTTTTCTTTCTCATATCATACCCTACCACAAACTTTTGTCCTATAGTAATTATTCACTTATAGCCTTTTCCTCATGTTGTGATATGACCTGTTAACTTGGATTGTGACCTATATTTGTTAGAACTCTGTTGTTTCTGAGACTTATAACTTCTTTTGCTCATGGTATTGGCATTCATAGAATGAAGGATATGATCATAAAAGTCCTTTAAAACCAGCAACTAATAGTAAAAGTCAAATATGTTCTCATTCTTGGAGATTGAGTTGGTTGTGCAGAGGTAATAGAATGCCAAGCAATTTTTTTCTTATGTCTTGCTAAGAAACATGCCTTCTGAAATACAATGAACAGATCTTCTAGTTAATAGTCATAAATCTCCATGTTGTTACATAAAGACTTATCAGCAAATTATAGTCTGTGAATCAGGGTTCCTGAGGTTCTCCCTCGAAAACTTGAAAATAAGATTGCCCCTGAGAAACTCTTAAGTCAATACCTAATGGATGAGATTAGAGTTGAGCAAATATATCTTAAAAAGCTTAATAGCTTTCAGGTAGATAGCATAGACTGTAATATAATCAAAGATATTAACAGATCTGAAGATAGTATGTCGCTTTTGGAAAGGGGGGGGTTGATTCACATGAATTAATAGAAGAAAGAATGTCAGAGGTACAAATATCTGCAATGCTAATCCACGTAGTGTTATGGGGAGAGGGAATCAGGGCCAAAAAATATGGCCTGTCTGTTCCTGATGTATCCCCATGACGAAGATGGATACAAGAGGCTTTCTTAGGCTGTTGCCATTTAACACTGGAGTCTTAAACTGTAATTTATTCTGTGCTGATCCCAGTTTCAACAACAGCTTTGGATTATAATAAGACTTCTCATGTAGCAGAAAGAAATTCACAGCTTCAAGAATTTGAGAGTCTCGTTCTATTGGCAGTTATATTCTTTACTAGAGGGTAATAAATTGTCACTTATATTAATATTTTCTTTCTCTTATGAGTTTAGTCACTGTTAGTGAAGTCTGGAGGACTGATGAGATCAAATCTATTAACAGATCTTGGGGGACAGATCTTAAATCTTGACTTCTTCATCATGTGAGGGCCTATTCTAAAGCTTCCTGTCAGCCTGCCAACCTTCCACGGTGATGCCCCTTTTATTAATACTTTTTAGCACTGTGGAAATTTCTACACTACAATTCAATGTTAATATAAGAGAAAAAGTTATGCCTATTGTCCACTGAACTCCACTTGAATAAAATGCTGTTTTAATTTTCTTATTTCAAAATAGAGAAGTATCATGAAAAACTGCAAAGTACATCCAATACTAATCTTAAAATTGTCTTGGTAAATAAAGCTGGACTATGGACTATATCCTACAGATTCTAAATTTAACATCATTATCAAGGTTCATTCTAATGCTCAGTGGTTTGGCCAGTTGAATTCACAAGTAGGTAAAGTCTAGCAGGGATTTTGTCATTTAAGCCAAGAATGATGACAGGCAAATATATGAATGGGGAATATCTAAAGGATATTGGGATTCATTGAGCATCTTCTATATGTTAGGCATTATACTATCTATTTTACAATTGTATGCACCCTACTTCTCTCAACCATTCTGTGAGGTGTAGGCATTGTTACTTTCATTTTACAGATTAAAAATTGATGTTCCAGTATATTAAAAAGCTTACCTAGTATGAGTAGCAAGTTCATGATTCTAATCTAGATTGATCTGACTCTAAAGACCAGATATTCATCCTGAAAGCTGAACAAGCAAAGACTATTGAAATGGAAACAAGACTATCATAGGATGTTCATTGGTCTGGGAGTTCAATGGCAGCCACACATAGAAACAAAAATCATAGGATATGGAAAGCAAAGTTTGACCAGAAAAAGAGACAGACAGACAGAATAAAAAAGAGAGGTGAAGGACATGCAAAACAAACCAAGGACAGCAACAAGATTTTCTCCTGGAGGAACTAGGCATGTGAACAAGGTGCAGTTTAGTGTTGTCAAGGAGGGATTCAGGTGTTTCTTAGCAATCCCACTCTGGTTTGATCCTCATGTCTTAAAGCTACCATATTATTGTTATAAGACCTCACAGCATGATACCAATAATCAATCCAACATATTGACTATAAGACTAGTAACTGTATTCTTAGCCAAACTATCTTTCTCATAAGTTCATAGTTAGCTCATTACTTAGAATTCTTTGGCCCATTTCCCTAAAGTAAACTAAACAGAATGGTCTGAGAGAGTAAGTACTGTTTTCTGCTACAGTAATTTATTCTCTTTGGCCAGAGGTTGGTATTTTTTTTTCTCCTCCACCTGAAATTACTATCTAGGCTTGTTCAATACTGTTGGTTGATTACCACATTTTCCCCCATGGTGACCTTTGTCATGGGTGGATGAGCCAATATTGTTAAACATTTTAAATAATATACACTATTGCCATTAAGGTTGTTCTGGTTCTAGTTTTTGTGAGGGAAACTGACCAGCAGTATCATTTTGTATGGACTTTCTAAGTTCAGTTTGTGTCTCAAAAAATAGTCACTTTGCAGCCTCAGGTTAAATTCCTGAGATACAGGTTCATTCACATATCAGCAAGCCCTGTATCTTCTATGCTGAAAAAAAAAAAAAAATCAAGTAGCAACTTAAATTTTGAAAAACTGAAATCCAACCATTTTCCAATATTTTAGTTTGAGGAAAATCTACAGGAAGAATAAAAAATTCATTGTGAATTAAAGTTAAAGGTTAGTATAATATTTTAACTTCTGCTGCCTTGACCTTGATGAATGTTATAAACAGTCCCCATTTGCCGTAATGATGGATATTTGAAATGGAAAATCTATTTCATTCGTGTAAGATTTCAGTCTCTGACTTTAAAACCTCAGAAGCTCTCCTAGACTATATGTGAATGCCTGACTTTATGTCTCAGTACTCTGAAGTTTCACCTCTTGTCAATGAAAACTGACGTCAGTGAACTAATTGGCTCTTCTTCTGCGTAGGTACCCTGACATGCCCACCGCTGCTGATGTTGTGAATGCTTTAGATCAACAGGCACTTGCATCCATCTTAAGAACATACGGGGAGGAGAAGCATGCCAAGAAAATAGCTTCAGCAATCGTTCAGGCACGCACTATCTACCCCATCACCAGAACCCAGCAGCTTGCCAGCATCGTCGCAGGTACCCTCATTAATTCTGAACGGTATCTGAGAGAAAAAAAAAATGTGTGTGTGTGTATTATATATATAAATCCCCCAAATCCCTGAGGAATTCATTTGTACTTGAAATCATGCAGGATAGAATCTTGCCTTTCTCTAATGAAAACTTTCTTTTAGCTTCCCCCCCCAACACCTCTCCCCCACACACAATTTTTATAAAATATACTGTAGTTTGCCAATTAGTATAATAATAGATTTTTTTTAGCATAAAGTATCTATTATTTGCACCTACCAAAGTGAGCCATGGAAGAAGAAGAGCAAAAGAATTTCTTAATCCATCATAGTGGTTGATAAGCACCCTGTATAAGATCTGACATTACCTCTCTTAGTTTCACATTTCTGCATTTTAATATTTTGGGCAAAAGGAGAATTGCATTGCCCAACTGCTAAAATAAAATCCAGTGACTCATACATCTATTCTAAACAACCAGCTAACAAAGGGTATGTGATGTATAGGTTATTCCACTTTGTGAATGCTAACTAAATCAGCCTGAGGGGCTTATTGAAACATTTCATCTTTTCTGCTGTTTGCCACCATAAACCTCTTGAACCTAAGTCTAGCTAGGAGGCGCTTTATTATAGCCTTTTTGTTTGAAGCCAAAGTTGTTTCACAGCTGTGTTCCATGATGAAAGTTTTCCAAGGCAAAAATACAACTCTTATAGTTATTTCCAATGGTAAATTTTTCATCCTGTTGAAACATCTGAAACCCTTTATCATTTTTATTTACCAAATGTATGATTTCTTTTCAGTGGTTCCCGTTAAGTTACTTAAGTAAAGAAGTTTAAAAAAAAGGAGTATTTATATAGCTTATAAAAAGAACCAGACTGACTTTATCTTAATACTATCTATAGTTTAAGGGATAAGAATCATAAATTTATTCAGATCATTAAGAGTTAGAGATCATGTAGCAATTATTTTATGATATAATTAAATAAGACTATTCCATTTAGCTATGATAATAAAATATGAAGAGTTAACTAAATCTCTTAAATTTTTTTAAGCTGCATACCTCAGGCCCTTCAGATTTACCATTGAGATTCCTTTAGGCAAGTAAGAATAGAATTCATGTAGGCTATATGAACACAAAATATTTCATGGTATTTTTTTTCCCAAAAGGAGTTTATATTAACATGCTGACATTAAATTCACCCTGTCTTGTGTTCCTTTTTTTTCTTTCCACTCTCTACTCACTAACATGCCTCCATTTTATCCTTTCTGTCATCCTTTAACTATGTGTGTTGTTTTCTCTCTCACATATTGGAAAGAAAAGCAGTGAGAAGTCATATTTTTTTATCCATAAGAAAATCCAAACTTTTCTGGTACTAACAATGAGAGATTTGGGCTAGAGAATATCCTAGATCTCGAGATTGTCCAGTCAAGAAACCTCATATGATTGCTAAAAAAACTGAGACTCAGGGAGGGTCAATAGTTTATTCAAGATTATAGCCTAATTATTGAGAGAGTTAGTACTACACTTGATCTCAGCAAAAGGCTGAGAATTGATATAGAATTGGTACTAATCTAGTATTTGGAAGCTCATGAATTTGAGACATAATTGGGTTCTGCCTTCAAGTTAATATTTTTCTGTGGATCCTGATCTATAATCTTGGGGAAATAACACTTTCGCATTAGATAGAAATTATATGAAGATATACAAAAGGAACAATTTAAGTACTTTCAGAAAGAATGTGATATGAAAAGTACATTAGGCCTATGACAAATGATTCAATAAAGGTGAGAATATCCATGTATGGGTAAGTAAACTCCATTTTAGTAAATGCCATTAAGCTCTCTATAATGAGTTCACTTTTATATGTTAAATATCAGCCCATAATCATCCAACTTTATTGATGATATGATTTTTTGGAGAAAGAAAAAATAGAAAAAAAAATGTGTTTTCATTTTGTGTTCATTTATTCAAAAAATATTTTGGTAGAGTCTACTATACTAGTCACTATCCTAAGCACTAAAGGTAGAATGGGAGCAAATCAAATATAGCCTCTGTGTTTACAAAGTTTACAGGCTAGTAGATTATATAGTCAGGTAACTAAATAAAAACATAGTGTAATAAACTTCTACTTGTAGTGAAGACCCTCTTTTTTATTTATTGTAGTCTGGAATTATGATTGTATGATCAATAGAAAATTTGATAAGAGCAGAGAATTTTAGAACCTATACACCCACACCTAATTTGATTGCATTTTTTAAAGTGACTCACCTTTATCTAGAGTTTCCACAGTCTCCAACTTAGTTTTCATGGAAACAGCAGCTGTCTTTCCTTTTGCATTCATATTTCATCAGTTTATGTAATATTTGGTGAAATTATGTAATGACAGTAGTAGGCTCTTTGGGCTGTAAGCACACAGCTCTTTTGATGGAAGCAGGACTATATAGGAACACTAGAAAGTAGAACACTACCCTCTTACAATTTGTTTAACAGAGAAAAGAGTTGATCTGTCAAGTCCATTAAATGCATGTCTGTTAAGAGAGGTATTTCATGAAGGAAATGTGGGAAGCAATGGGAAGGGTACAGGAGAATCCTTGTATTAGTTTCCTAGGTCTGCTATTACAAAGCATTATAAACTTAGTGGCTTTAAACAACAGCAATTTATTCTTTTACAGGTTGATAGGCTTGGTGTCTGAAATCAGATGATGTCAGCAAGGCTCTCAGGAGGAAAGCCTTCTTTGACTATTCCCTAGTATCTGATGATTGCCAGCAATCCTTGGTGTTCCTAGGCTTGTAGATACATCACTGTCTCTGCCTCCATTGTCAGTTGGCATTCTCTCTGTGTATATGTCTTTGTGTCCAAATTTCTCTCTTTTTTAAGGACACTAGTCATGTTAGATTTAGGACCCACCCTAATCCAGTATGTCCTCATCTTAACTTTATTACATCTGTGAAGACCCTATTTCCAAATCAGTTTGTATTTATAGATTCTAGGTAGACATGAAATGTGGGGGATACTATTTAACCCAGTGCAATTCCTAAGCAATATCTTTATTTAACAAACATATATTTTGGCAAGCTATAATATACAGTAGAGTATATTTAAATGTCTTTTCTGATTTTAATAATTCATACCAAATATGTTCAAAGCTATCAAGCATTCTAGGAAATGTACAGCACAGTTCCTGACACATATTAAAACATATATATTAATGGAAATATAGCTTTCTTGGCTTTCCCAAAGCTAATAATCCAGTAGCACAAGGAAGACCACCACTCTTGGAATCACAGTATACTCAGTGGCATTCTATAAATCAGATGATTAGCTGTAATTTATAAAATCTAAATCCTGATGCTTTTTACTAGTATAAATAATTATAGTTCTAGTACTTTTGCATTATCATGGAAGCTCCAAAAGACAGGTTTAAGGCTCCCACTTGGAAAAAAGCACATACAACCATTGTGCATTACTTTATAAATTATCAAAGCAGTAATTTATAAGCAGTTTACAGAATTCCAAGAACAACCTGTAGGATTTCACTGTTCATACTACCACCACATATGTTCATACATACACTATTCAGAACTACCAGCCAGGAATTTTAATGTAAATATTTAACATATATACGGTGTTATACACAGCATTTCCTCCAAAAATGATTTATAAATAACAAATCACATTTTGTTAAGCATCATTTTTATTCTAATACTGTTATAGCTCAAGAGTTGGAAATGGCTTGAAGGACTCATTTAATCCAGAACTAGATTTTTCATCAACTGTAATAAATGGTCATCTAGCTTCAGCCTTTTTATGTTCATCTTTTTTACTCCCCATCGTATTGCAGTAAAGAGGAGCACATTTCAGCCTGAAATTTCCAGTTCCATAAATATAGGCCTGGAGGCTTTAGAAAGAATGTATTTCTTAGAACTAAAGTCCATACTCTTTGACATGGTTTGCAAATCCCTTCATGAATTATCTCCTACCTGCCTTTTCCTTTTCATCTTTCTCTTTCCCCATAATAATCTCTGTTCCTGCCATATTGAAATTCTTTAGTCTTTCCAGCTTACCATAATCAGTCACCTGCAGACCCTGGACATACTTCTGCCTAGATTATTGACCTGCCTGTTTCTTTTCTGATATCCCTGCCCTACCCCTAACCTTTCCTCTGGCTAATTCCAACTCATCGTTTAGACCAGTAAGTTTTTGTCCAGCCTAACTCAGATTAGCTGAGATGCTTTCCTGTATCCTCCCATAGCACTGCCTTTCCCCGTGATGGCACTTATTATGCTGTATCTTATTGCTTGCTTGCCATTTAAACTTTCCCCAGACCTATATTATTCAACATAGTTACCAATAGCCACTTGTGGCTATAGAGCACTTGAAATGTGGCTATTCCAAATTGAGAGGTGCCATAAATGTAAAATACACACCAGATTTTGAAGACTTAGTTTGAAAAGAGAATTTATAATATCTCATTAATAATTTTTATCTTCATATGCTAAAATGGTAATATTTTATATGTATATTGGGTTAAATACAGTATTAAAATTAATTTTACCTATTTCTTTTTTTTTTTTTTTTAAGTGTGGCTATAGACAATTTTAAATAACATGTGGCTTTCCTACTACTCAGGAGGCTGAGGCAGGAGGGTTGCTTGAGCCCAGGAGTTTGAGGTTTCTGTGAGCTAGGCTGATGCCATGGCACTCTAGCCCAGGCAACACAGGGAGACTGTCTCCAAAAAAAAAGTGTGGATTGTATTACATTTTTATTGGATAGCATTGCTCTAGACTATAAGCACTGTGAGGGCACTACCATGACTTCCATACTTATCACTGTGTCCCACTGCTTAGCATAATGTTTGACTCTTGGAAAGTATTTGGTAAATATATATTCAATGTTAATGTAAACAGTTAACAAAGTGGAAATTATATTAAGAAGTTTCTACTTTTATAAGATTTGGATTCAGTAAAACAACATCAATATTAATAAAAAAATTGATGTTTAGTCTCATAG